ACTAAATTGCGCACGGTAATGAATACGCAAGATGTGGATGTTTATTTTAGTTACCGTCTCAAAATTATAGTAATTTTCATTCATTTGGTAAATTTAATATATTAAATCACAGTGTCCGTTTGACACACAACCTGTGGGCATTGCCACAGTATTATTGTATACCGCTCTACTCACCAACATTGACGCTCCTTTCCACTTTGGGTGTTGCTGGAGGAGAACTCTTTTAAAGTTAAGCTCGTCTTTGTACATTTGATTAGCTCTGTCATATTTTTTTATGTATAATTAGTGTGTACAATAAAGTATTAAATAAATAAAATACAATTGTAATATCTCATAAATTAATTTGCATAAAAACCGTTATCCGATCCAACATAATTCAATAACTTACACTTATTTAATATCTATAGTTACATGGAAATGATCAGATTTCACTACGTAAGTCGAATAGTTTCTAAAAATTTCTGATTAATGTGAATATGGTATTTATTGCACTTATACATTATATTTTACTTTCAGTTATAACAACTATAAATGTCCATAGAACGTATATAGATACTAAATTACAAGAAACTGAACGTTCAATACGTTTTTGTATAACGCAACAGCAATAAAATTTGCGTACATACATATTTGACTAAATGTATCTTATTTCGTATAAATATAAACGCGAGCGTTATTTATAACTCGCCTATAGTTAGCTTAAGTGTAGCTTTCGACTCGAACTGGCCGAGTCGTGGTCGCCTCCGGCCACGGTCGACTTTCAGAGACGGGGCACGACAATAAAACAGGCAGACACGCAACGTGGAACTCATGCGATGTCATTAACATCATATAAACGGGAATGAACGACAGCCCATGATAGCTGGTAATTGGTGTGAATGAAAGTTGACAATACGATGACAAAAAAATTATCTCTCACAAAAAAAAAAAAACTACTTAAATCGTGGCAAACCCAGTTATTTTGATTTAAAAACTAAAGTATTGAAACAATGAAAATATTTTTTACTAAATTTCTATGGGACCAATATTTACATAAATGTTTCATATCCTCTCTGATAAAAACATATATCATTTCTGATAAAAAAAAAAGAATAATGATAAGGTAAAAAAATATAAAATAAAAAAACGAATTGAAACCTGAACCAAAACTGAACGATACACAAATTTAATGTTAAATTTATACAATACATACCATACAAAATTAAAAAAAAATCGTTCCTTTGAACTGTTATGGTAGGATTTATGACGAACAAAATGTTAAACTCCATTTACAGGGTCAATTTCGATACAAACTGAAACACGAATTTAAGTAGACCCCTTAATAAAGAAAAGTTAGTTACTAATATTATTGAAAAATTTACCTGTTCACTATATATATTAAATTTCATTTCAATACATTTCAATATTAAATGTTGTAGGATTAAATACCTATAAAAATAAACAAGTAAATAAATAAATATTATTTCACCAAAATATCTGACTTCTTATTTTAGGAAATTACTATTAAATATATAATATTTATTAAGATATATTTTAATATATCAATGGCTCATTTAGCTCCATTAGCAAATAAGCTACTGTATAAATCAAACTATGACGTAGCAGAACTTATTACTTATATAATAATAATACTTAAAAAAATTAAAAGAAATGCTGTGTAGGTCCCGGCATAGAATAGGCCACCGCTTCCTCTTCCATTGCTGTGGTAAGAGGCGACTAAGGGAGGACGAGGGATGCACAGCAGCGTCTCTCTTAAAACATCTACAAAGCCTAACTACGGTTGTCAACTCACCTACCAAACGTGGCAACTATTGGCAAAATCCCCAAGGAAGAGGATTCTGTTCATCAGTGGACAGTTAAAGCCAGATATGATGATAATAATTATTAAAATAAATTATATATTTCCATATGTTCTAGAATCTAGATACAAAACATATCCCATTTATAAACATTTTACTTGAACAATCAACAAAATAATAGAGTACAGAGACATAACATCGTAGCCCTCAAGACAATGCACGAAAAAGACCACAGGCCTCACAGTATATTCTGTGATGCCCGTGATACTGTTCATGTAAATAAGCAACTGTTATCACTTCCCATCATGTAGACAGTCAACTTATTTGCCAATCTAAATATCGTAAAATACCAAATTATGTATGGACTGGATCATCTATTACTTAATTACGATTACTCTATGTATACTTAGATCACCGTAGCGTAGGTACCGGTAAACTATACTTATATAAATGTACAGATAATAGTGCAGCCGTAGGCGCTTTTGTCCTCTTATCTTTTAGAATATTTAAAATAGACGACGCCATATTTTGTAATCTGATAATATCTTCGACAATTCATAACAGATTTACAAAGAGTTTTTGTGTGTATATATTACTATATAGTGAATATTGGTGACGAACTTAATAATCTGTGACAAATGAGTTTTAATTTTTTTTTTTTAATATTGATAAGGAAATAAATATATTATTTTAGATTATAACTTAGAATTATACTTTAATTTAAATATTTTTCTTTAATAATGACTAAGAAAGCATGTTATAAATAATACATTAATCCAATATTATTTTTCATTATTTATTCACAAATCATTTTATAAGCAATATTATGAAATGGACTGAATATAATTAAAAAAAATATTGTACTGACTGTAAATAACTGTAATTTTAATTTATAATTTTTGAAATGTTATTATGTAGTATCCTATACAATGTATTTTGTGTTTTGGTAAAAAATAAATAAAATAAAAATAGATAGACTTTGACATGTACAACATGGTACAACAAAGGAGGTCAAAAATACGGCCTTAAATAGAACTGGCTGGAAGAGAATGCATGAACTAGTTGCCCCGACAAAAGGAAACTTTTAAATAAGACGAGAGTAAAAGAGAGACGTTGACTCAGATATCACTATCAGCCCGAACCCCCCCCCCCCCCCCCATTAAATAGAGCGACGACCTTAAATGCAAATGGGGTTCTCGTCTATAACCTATGTTCAGCAGTGGACAGGTAATGGCTGAGATGATGATGACGAAGCTATTTTCAACTTGAAATAAAATATTTTTTCTTTCATTTATCTATCAGATTATACAAATTATTTGTAAGAATAACATAGTCGTTCTTTGATTTATGTAATTCATACATAAACTACATACGTAACAGAACGGACGATCTTATTATAAAACCCTGTATAAAAACGTACTCCAATAAAACACTGCGATGACGAGGTGAACGCGGTCTAAAAAGGATACGATAGTTAAGAAAGAGCAATGCATGTTTATGGATGTATGTCCAAGTATAGGAAATTGTCGCATATAAAACCATATAGGCAACGTCTCGGTTATTAACTGCAATATTTATTTTTGTTGCAATCAATAACAATTTATAAATGCGAACAGAAATAAATGGAGTTTGAATTTCAAACTGTTAATTTATTGGAGACACGAACAAATATCTGCGAAGCAGTTGCTTGTTCTTATACTAACAATAAATATACTTTTCTTAAGACAGATCCGTTCTGTGTCAAAAAATTGTCAACATTTAGTTAGCCAGCTAATTTGACAGTAGTAGTAATATCAATTTATCCACAATGATAAAGGCAAAGGAACTAAGCCATACAGTTTGATCTTCACGTTAAATTGATTTGGCTAGCTCAATTTGACACATATATTTTTTTTTTAACCAAAACAAACCGCGCCATTTTTTTCAGTGTTGCAAGTAATTGAATTAAAACATTCCCAGGTCAGGTCGGTTTCTTAAATTTGAATTGGAACCAAATTTTTATATAATATATATATGTATGTATGGGTGTGTACGTATTGCTTTCAAATTACTGTAGTACTACAGTACCGCAAGAGTATCAGTGTATTCACCGATGCTGGTCATATCAATAAGCAGTAATTACCACTTTTATCAGGCAAGCGTCAGCTCATTTCTCATTGCATAAAAATATCAATTGTAATTAAAAAAAAAATCGAAATTCGAATTCTACAACTTATTTCCAAGTTTTTATTTGAGAATATGCAATTCCAAAATCAATTGGAATTCAAATAAATTCGAAATTCGAATTCGAAAACGCATTTGTATATTTTAGTTTGGGTCTCACTTATGCCACACCTCTGTTATCGTTTTAGGGACGATTTCTAACAGCGCTCCAGCTCTGAACTTGCCTCGAGATATGCTAATGTTTAGAAATGGGAATGGGTCATGTCGGGCTGTAAATTATGTTACTGTCAACACAGCTAGATACGATACAATGTTGTGCTATAAAATGTTATTGTTAAGAGATCTTTTAGAATAATACTTGTGGTGTCTGACTTCTTCCGCATGGAATTTTATTCATAATGTAAAATGTACAAGCTGTGTGTACTACAGAATAAACGTTTTAGTAAATCCTTATTTTACTCTTTGTTGTTAACGTGCTGGCAGCATGTAGGTATCAAACCATTTATTATAGAATAAAATACAAAATAAAAAAAAGAAATAATAAATATGTAGCTGCCAGTACATCAGCAATATACATATACTTATATTAAAAAAATATAAGTATATATATACTTATATTTTTTTAATTTTGTTATTTGAATTTGGAACATAATTACATTCATTACATTGCATATTAATTTTCTAAGGCACGGTGGAAGAAAGCCAGTAAAAAGTAAAACAATAAATATTTAATCATATACACTAACTTACTAATATACTAATTTTAAATAACTCTTTTGCTGTTCGATATTTGAAACTTAATAATTGTAAAATCAACAAAAAAGCAACAGCTGAGTTTCTTGTCCGTTCTTCTCAACTGAAATTTCATTCCGAATAGGCGGTAAAATGATAAAAAAAAAGTTTATAATTAAGTATACTTGACTAAAAAAATATTCTTACTTTTTTACCCTACCGCCTAGTTCAATTTAATCAAATTTGAAAAGCACTGGCAAGAAACTCGGCTATTGCTCATCATTCACTAAAAAAAAATACACTCACCAGTAGGACAGTCGCATTCGTATCTAAGCTGATCCAACGGAGTACACTTTCCATCGTGCAGGCACGGAGACGGCTCACAAGGAACGTACTCCGCGTCACAATCCCGTCCGGTGTATCCCGGGTCACACACACAAGTATACGATCCGTGTGTGTTGAAGCACCTCCCGTGGTGGCACGGCCCTGAGCCGCTCGAGCATTCCACTACATCTTCAGTACACCGCGGGCCTGTGAAACCCGGTGGACAGGCGCAAGAGTAGCCAGCAGCCGTTGTATTGTCCGCAACGCAACGCCCTCCATTGCGGCAGGGTTGCGACGCGCAATGGTCCTCGTGTGAACATGCGGCACCTGTTTTAAAAATACTAATTTTAATACTTCACTAAATATAAAAAGACACACATATAATATAGATATATTATATATCTTTATTTGAAATATATTTCCAACTATGTATTACGGAGGGGGAAGGGTTAGTAATGCGCCCAAAAACTAGCAGCCCCATTGCTAGCAAGATTGACCCCTGTCATAACGACCTACACGTGATCCCCCTGGAAGCAATCATGCTGAATTCTAGACGTATTTATCACAATGAGCTAACTGATCTGCCTTTTCATTCTCACCTATCATCCCTCACTGGTACCCCGCCAGCGTATACCATTAGCGCAGACGGAATTCCAGTATACCAGCACAACCATTCCATTATTATCTATAAAAAAACTCTTATAAAGGGAGATTTTGCCAATAGTTGGCTTTGGTTGGTGGTTTGATGGGTGGGATATGACAGTGAATTTACAGGATGCAGAGGAATAACACCCGAGTCCTCAGGAATGGCAACGCATGGGGTGTATCATAGGGGAAACAGTACACTCTGTTATGTCCATAGTACTGCCCATATCTATAGGCGACGGTTGCTACTTTCCATCAGGTGAGCCGTCAACTTGTTTGCCATTCTAAGTTGCATATAAAAATAAAAAAAAAATCAATTAAAATATCATGTCTCTAAATTCGCAGTGTACGGCTGTTAATATTTCAAAATGTTTTTTAAAAATGTTTAATATTATTCCTATCACATATAATCCAGACCAATTTAAAGCTAATGCGAATAGGCTATTATTTATGGGTTATCTGAGACCACATCATCACATTCCATTAGATAAAGTCGTGCTCTATCACGGGTCCCTTCAATAAAATAAAAAAAAAAAACTAAAGAAACTTTATTTTCTAATCAGCATCCGATGTGTGAAATTTTAAAATATTATCCACATATTAGCATAAATATGACTCAATAAATAATATTTAATCACGTTTTATATTTGCGATTTCTGCGTAAATGTTCGACTTGTTGTAAAAAATATCGACATTCTGGAAAACAAATTTCTATTTAAAATATCGATCTGTATATTTATAATACCTATACTATACCAAAGGGAGACTTTGTACAAAAGTCGTTTGCTTGGGCACCTCTGTCCCATTCGTGTTTCAACCGTGAAGCAACTGCGTTTGCATTGTTGTATTTCAGTTTGAAAAGTGGGATATGAATAACACTTGAGTCCTCAAGAATGGCAACGCATGTGGGGTATTATGTACAAAACAGTATACTGTGTTATGTTCATGGTACTACTCATGTCTATAGGCGACAGTTACCACCTTTCATCAGGTGGACCATCAGCTTGTTTGCCATTCTAAGTTATTCAAAAAAACCTAAACCATAAACATAAGTAGACATATATAACTAACAATTATAAGTTTAAAAACAACATCGAAAATACATGTCAACGTTAACGAAAAAATCTATAATACAATAAATGTTAACAACATCATTAATTCAATAGCACACACGATCTCTAAGGCGATGATCTTAAGTAAATTTGAAAAACAAATATATGCAGATCATCGTTTAAAAGTTCGATTTGCTAACTATTAATTTATGATAATGATATACTTAACGATTTCTCATGATGATAAAATGTCAACAACTAAATAAAATAATGATATTTGAGACACATCTCTGTAAACAATGTCACATTCGAGTCCATTAATGTTCATCTAACTTTCATCAACTCTCCGCCATGTTGTTTCGGCATAGAATAGGCCACCCCTTCCTTTCCCGTGGGTATTGTAAGAGAAGACTGAGATAGGGCGAGGGATGAGCAGCAGCGTCCCTCTTAAAACATCTCTAAAAGCCTAACTGCAGTTGCCAATCTGCTTGCCAAGCGTAACAACTACTGGCAAAACAGCAGTGGATAATTAACGGCTGAAATAATAAAAACTCTCATGAATTGAACGTAAACCCTGAAAGAAATTAAAGAAATGCTCAGAATATTTTTAAAGTAATTTAGAATGGTAAACAATCTGACGGGCTCTCTTCATGGGAAGAGGTAACCATCGCATGAACATCATTCGTCTAAATCAATATGTGATCCCATAAAACATAAAACCAAAATTCACAATTTGTGAATTTTTCTGGTTAACCATTGTCTATTTATCATTCGTTGTTCATACATGCTCACTGTTTACGGTCAAAGTTGCAAAAATCTAAAAGACTGATTGTTTTCGTAGTTTTGGCGCTGAACGATTAAAACCAGGCACCGAGTATCGATCTATTAATTTGCCTGAAGATGCCTCATTAGAAGGTGAAACTCGTGTCGTTAAACGTGCCTGAGCGATATGGCAGTCAGAGATTTATGGCTAATATGAAAGGTTGTAAAACTTCTGATAATAACAATAGCGGTCAATCTTCGAGTGTTGGCAGATGCAAAAAATACTAATGGTAGCGGAACTAAATAAAATAATTCTAAATTAATTTTTCTTTACATTAAGTCCCGATATTGTATTTAAAATAATTCTAATCAAATAACCAGTGATATGGAATTCCATAAAATAACACTTAATTGAGTAAAATATTTCCAAGAAAATATTCAAAAACAAAGAACACCAATCTACAGACAGTACCAATGTCGCTTTTAATATGTGCTTCGCAAATACATAACTACCAGTACAGCAAGACTTATAACAACTAATATTAAACCTTGAATCATACTTAATAAGGTTAACAATTGCAATATCATATCACCAATGGGCGTTATGACAAATTCGTCACCAATTTAATTGGAATGTTTATCTGAGTAACCAACATGCTAGAGTATATGAATTGAGTTTGATTAGTGAAAACAAGCTCAATTGAAATCAGCTTGATGCATTGATACACAACATGTTGCTGACACGGCTAACGTAGGGGGAGAGGGATTGTTAGTAATGGGGTTGAGTAGGGTCACTGCTAGCAATATACCCTAACAGATCGATCTCCACGTGGTTTCCCCTGGAAATCATCGAGGTTGATTCTTGTCAAATTCATCATAGTGAAGCAACTGATATGCATTTATCCTCAGGTATCATCTGTCACTGACGCCCCATCAAAAAAAGAAGAAAAAGATTTGGCAAACGTTGTTATGCTCCCTGCTGTAAATACCAAATGAATTTTCCTTAACTATTTGAAGTTAAAGCATATAATACCTACAAATTTACAAAACTTTATTGAAATCGGTCATTTCGAATTTAGTGTAATCAAATAAATGCTCCAAATCATCATATCAGCCGTTAACTGTCCGCTTCTAAACATAGACCTTCCCGATCTAGATATTGGAGGATTTTGACAATAGTTGCCTCGCTCGGCAGGCGGGTTAGCAACCGTAGTTAGGCTTTAATGATATTTTAAGAGAGGACGCTGCTACCCATCCCTCGACCATTAAATTCCCTTAATCGCCTCTTACGACACCTACGGGAAAAGAAGGGGTGGCCCATTTTATGCCGGAACCACACGGCATATCTTAAAAAAAGTATTACCTACTTGGTTCAAATCGTCGTAGTCGTAGAATACTGGCGGATCTGACATATATTACATATAAAGATCCGTCAGTATTCTACGACTATGTCGATATAAAGAACAATAATTTGTTAAAGACACAAAAGTATCACACTGTGGAAACAAAAAGAACATTCAACCAACTGCATGAAATAAGAAAACGACCATAAGTATTAACAAATCACGAAACAAAATTGCCGAATTCACACAGTAATTTTATCCGATTACATGCCAGTACAAAAAAAGTGTTACATCTCACACAGAACCTGTGTAATCCAAGAAACCAAAATTATTCGGACTTTCTATCGGCTTTCACTACACTGGTCCGTTCTGATAATGCGACTGTCATAATGGATAATAACACCTTGAAAATTATTAATAGATTCGACAAATTAGTTTTATACACTAGTCAAGCGCGCTGCCCTTGTTACCTGTATTTACAAATAGTTAAATAGATAGATATTCTATATTGTTCCACTCAACATAACAGCACCAAACAATCTTAAAAACAATTGTGTTCGACAAAAAACCGACTTCAATTCTGATAAAATCTCATTTGACTTCGAAACTAAACTACTAAACCTACTTGATACTTGATAAAATTTTATGGGGCCAATCTATAAGAGCATCTTTTGAGATAAAAAAAAAAGAAATTTTCAAATCAGTTTACAACAGACGGAGTTATGAGGTAACAAACTTAAAAAAATGCACCCAAATTGGGAACCTTCTTTTTGAAGTTGTTTGACAAAATATATATACAGAAAAAGATCACGCTTAATTATACTTAATTACTTAATTTAGACCAAATTCGATTTATTTTTGAATATTTTTTTTATATATATGAACTGTAAACCAATTTCTCTAGTTCAAAATCAAACAATGTATGAAAAAACTGTTTAAGTTATGGAAAAAATTATAAATCATGTAAGTCAAAGTAATAAAAATACAGGATCAAGACTCCTTTGAAACAAACAGTGTTCTTGTTTATAACAACGTCTTGACAATTACAATAATATATAATAAATAATTCTCTATTAGGTATTTTTTTTTCTTTGTTTTCTACTAAAATAACACAGCTTGAATACTAAAGTACTTAATAATATCTATGAAACTAATCCAAACAAACTATTTTCCTCAATTAAAATGCAAATTTTAGGATAGACGTCTTTGACAATTGATTTTCTCTGTCTACCTTGCAAGGAACTTCACATAAATATAAAATAGATAGGTAGATAATACTCAAACTTCTATGGACAGTGTGATTTAATATCATGTATAATTTATTTTGCAGTTATTCCAAATATATCATTAGATACTCATCTTTCATACTTTTAGTCTTCCTTTCTAATTGCTTGCCAATTTCAGCTCAATTGCGTTAATTAATTTAACACCGGAACATGAAAATTGAAAGCTAAATCTTAATTAAACAATTTATAAAATTACTCGTAACTAGTCGCCAAAATTATAATAATCTTGGTCTACAAATCGTTGATTTTTAACTGCAAAATAATACAACCAATAATGTAATTTTGAACTTTAGTACTTAGGAATTAAAAGCTTTTAAATTTAGCATTCGTATGAAGACGGAAATCGAAAGGAAGTACTAAAAGACGATAGGCGACTTTCCAAAATATATTTCTTTAATTTTTATACTTATCTGTGACATGCTTTAATTAATTGATTTATGAACTAGTTTCGCATGACGCATTACTTCTTAGATTTCGCTATCTGTTGGCTTTATTTAGACGTTAATTTTATGTAATTTAGATTCTATCGTTAAGTTAATAAGTGACATTTTATAGTAATTGAAATATTCTCACGTGCTACCGTTTTGGTCACATCCTCGTAATAGGTAAGAAGAGATAATTGAGAAAACATTTTTATTATTAAGATCCGCAAACCTGTTTTATATATTATTGTTTTTACATTTTACCTTAAACTAGGTAGGTACAATCTTTCTTATATGTTATGTAATAAATTTAAAAAAGAATTTAAAATTTATTAAAAACAGGCACATTTTAACAACGTGTGGTAACATATATATGGATAAAAACGGTTGGTACTTGAATCTCTGACTACTTCGTAATCAAATTCACTGGAATAATAATAATAATAGATTTTTAATAACAAAATGAGTATAGTATTACCAAAAATAAAGCGGGAAATATTTTAGCAATTTATATCTCTACAAATCAAATATTACCTGAATCCGTTAAATCTTTAAAAAACAATAAATTGGTACATTTAATCTTTTTATGCATTATTGTTAAGATACACTTTTTTATGCAACTTAGAATGACAAATAAGCTGATGACCCACCTGATGGAAACATAACATAACAGAGTATACTGTGTCGGCCATGATACCCTTCATGCGTTGACATTCCTTAGAACTGAGGTATTATCTGTTTAATCGTTTATATATGGAACAGTTTATGAAATAAGTCCGATGTGAAGAGAAAACCATTTATTTTATTATAATATAACAAGTCGACATGTTGGTTTTGTACAGTAACAGATGATTATTGCTGATGTTACAATGTTGCCAGTATATAGAAACAGGGGGACAGGGATTGTTAGCAATGGAAGTTGACAATTTCCTGGCTAGCAATATATCCTATAAGGTTAACCTCCACGTGGTTCCCACTGGAAACCATCATAAATAGTTCTTGTTGAATTAGTCACGATAGGCTAACTGACCTGCTTCATCCTCATACATATATCATGTATCACTGGTGCCCCGCTAGAGTATACCGATAGCGCAGACGGGGTTACCATTTCATTAGTACCCATTAAAAAAATATAGAAACATAGATAATAAATGACATATGGAACATTATATGTTACTTATACATGTTACTAAAATATACATTTTTTAATTGATTTACTTTTAGTTAATTAAATTAGGAGCATTAATGGACGAACACTGGCCATTGGAACTATTCTTATTATTATTTATTACAAATATGGAAAATACGATAAATGTTAACATTATCAATACTTCTCAATGAACATTGCTCATTCCTTTTGTTTAAAGACACCTGTTGCATTGCATATTGCTCAGTGGTATTTCAATCGGAATATTTATAAGTTGCTGTCAGACAGTCTGTCTGATGATGTAAACAGGTAAATATCTAACTAATATAACAGAATAACAACTCTGATTGCCTATCAAGTGTGTTGAACTTATCACCAGAAGGAGACTTACTACAAATGTCGTTTGCTTCAGTACCTTTGTCCCATTCGTGATTATAACGTGAAGCAGTTATGTTTGTAAGGCTGTGTTTTAGTTTGAAGGGTGGGAATATGACAGTGAATTTACAAGGTACCGAGACATAACACCTTACTCCTCAGGACTGGCAACACATGTGCGAAACAGTATATGTACTCTGTTATGTCTATGGTACTGCTCATGTCTATATGCGACAGTTACCACTTTCCATCAAATGGACCGCGTCAGCTTGTTTGTTATTCTAAGTTGCATAAAAAACTCGCGGATCGAAAAATTTAAGGATCGCTTAGTGTCCTGAAACAATATGTTTGTAGAACGAGAAGTCAAAGCCGAAACGTTCATGTTTTAATATGTCATAAAATAAATGACAACTTTGACAGCTGTCATTAGTTCGATGACAATCGAAATACCAGTGATTATTATTATCGATGTTTGTATTTAATTGTTTCGCGCCATTTTGTAATAGACAAAATATTGGATTATTGTATTGTTAAAGTATAAAAGTTGTAAAGTGTCTGCTCGTTTTACTTCGGACCACCTCTAAAACAATGATGTAATATTTAATAAATCGATCTCCGTTTGAAGGTTGTTAATACAATATGAAGTAATTAATTATAATTAAACACTCTTTGCAGTGCTACTTCACCTAATGAATGAAATGCAATGACTGTAAACTAAGCGAACACTGCAGCGACTATTGTGCGTAGTAATTTGTAATGCTAACGATGTCATTATACTTGGATTTCCTTGATTATTTGAACCGTTATTGGGCGTAACATTTTATAAATTTTACGCGGCTTCAAGAACGCCTCTAATATGTCTCTGGTACTGCTTATGTCTATAGGCGACAGTTATCACTTTCCATCAGGTGGGCCGTTAGCTTGTTTGCTATTTTAAGTTGCATAAAAAATCTAATTTAGCTAGATAATAAGGGATGCATAGAAACAGTATTACGAACCTGTATAACCGGGAAGGCAGTCACACTCGTACGTATCAAGCGACGTTAGCCGACAGGTAGCTCCGTTGAGGCATGGTGCAGAGTCACAAGCAGCAGGTACACTTATCTCGCACAGTGACGCACTAAACCCCAATGGACAGTCGCAGGCGAACGATGGAGGACCACCGCCGGCACCGGGTCGCACCCTGCAGGATCCACCGTTCTGACATCGCGGACTCGATTCACTGTGACAAGGGTTGAGGTGCTGACAAAATTCACCGGCGTAACGGGATGTGCAACTGAAACAAAGAGAAATATACATTAGATTAGATTAGTGTTTCCCAATCTTTTTTGCGCCATGCCCCACTTGAACATTTCTTACATTTTTTTGCCCCCATACATAATTTTTCCCGACAAAGTTTACTTGACGACTCTAATCGCCCAGTTGATATTTTGGTAAAGTCAAACGAAATTATGTCCAATAAATATTTACAGCATTTTTTTTATTTACTTTTTTTATTAAATTTGGCACCGATATCTACTCGCAATATTGCATTCGAATGGCCCAGAGTGGGTTCAAATCGCTTCGAGTCCATTTTTAATCCCCCCTTAACTATCAAATTGCCCCTCTGTGGGGCGTGGTCCCCATGTTGGGAAACATCACATTAGATTATATATATAGCAGAAACTACTGGTAAAGAAACAACTAAAATGTCTACCATTAAAGGAAAATTAGATGAAAACATACATTTGTCAATTTTCTGCATAACTTTACGATCCAATCTCTCTCTTGTACGTCAACGTATAGCTGTATCGCAATTTGATTTTAATATCGGACTACAATCTTACTTCTTATTTTAATAATATAATAAAATTGTAACTAGATGATGGCTGTACATGGAAGACATAATAAGACCAATAGATGCCAGAACAATAATTTTTAAAAATTTATTTATTTATTCTTTATCGCACAATAACAAAACTTTGTGCAAATGGCGAGCTTAATGCCATATGGCATTCTCTACCAGCTAGCAGGTAAAAACAAAAAGCGTATGAAGGGCAAATGTGGTGAAAAATATGTTACGTAATTATAGTAACATACTGAAATAATTATACATAATAATACATAAGAAATACACATACAGTACATAATTTTATCTGCTTATCTGTTTATATTTTTTCCAGCATCACGCAAAAACTACTGCATCAAAATGGATGCTAGTTTCACAGCTGTGTTGCTGAAGATCTAACATAAAATCTGATTTACATTTTACTTTGATACGTCATCTAAAAACGACCCCTGTAATTGTTTTTCCTACTTCTAAAATCACGCGTAAGCGTACGAAGTAACGAGCTAAAAAATAGACTATAATAATTAAATCTAATACATATTTAAAATAAATTTCCCGTAAATGCAAGCATTAAATAAATCCAGTAACTAGGTGGTCTGGTAAATTGTGCAGCAAGCACATTCCATTTAAAGCTGGTTCACTTTATTAAAGTTATTCCATCCTTCTTACAATACTTTGTTGGCGGTCTCCAGCTCCATACAATAGCTCCTGGTGACTTAGCATATAATTCAACGAACAATACAAAATCTCTAAAGCACACTTGAACATCGTAAATGGTCATCTGAACATATACGACCATTCAATATGTAAATGATACTGTTTGTATTAGAGAAATAAGTAAAAACCATTTGTGTGAAACGTACGTAGAGTTCCTTGATATAAAATTAATGAAAATTACCTTTAAAAAAATAATTACGTATTTCGTTACTTTTAATATGATCATGTCTTTATAAATAAGAAACCAGAGGGAGACTTTGTACAAAAGTCGATTGCTTGGGTATCTCTGTCCCATTCGTGTTTCATGCAGCTGTGTTAGCATGGCTGTGTTTCGGTTTGAAGGGTGGGATATGGCGTGAATTTACTGGGTACAGAGGAATAACATCTGAGTCCTCAGGAATGGCAACGCATGGGGGCTATCATGGGTGAAACAGTATACTCTGTTATGTCCATGGTACTGTTCATGTCTATAGGCGACGGTTACTACTTTCCATCAGGTGGACCGTCAGCTTGTTTGCCATTCTAAGTTGTATTAAAAAAAAAAATAAGAAATTATAGATTTATAGTTATGTATCGACGGATAGATCTTAGAATATTTATTACAGTTGAAATATTTATAATAACATTAACACTGAAATGTACAGCTTAATTTGTAACAAATAAATTATTTTAAGTAGTTGAAGCATATTGAATTCTAATAAAATAGAATATAAACTATCATATAAGTACATCACATCCTGGTACTAGTGGTACCCAATAAGTTAGGGCGCTCGTAGGTGAGCACAATCGTGCGCCCGCGCCGGACGTCGACAATAAATAACGCAGATACGTCGCGACCACGAGTATGTGACATGCGCTCGCGCAGCCGCTATCGTCTGTGAATTGGTTAACCTAGGGTTTTTCGAAAGTATTTGTATTGCTTATTTACAATTTATACAAAAGAAACCTCTATGTGTATTTATATTAAAATAACCAAAGACAATTAAATACTTCAAGGGCACAATCGTGGATAAAACCAGTACGCAATAAGATCAAAATGGTAATTAATCAACTACACACTGACAATCAAGACCCAACAGCCTTCAAAACTGTTGAGACGGAATAATGATTGCAATTATTGATTAACTCTGAGTCACAAAATGAAATATCTGACCTATAACAATTTAGTTTACAATGAGAGAATGATAATACCGAGTCTTATGACCTCATAAGTAAATAAATAGTAAATGATTTAAATATTATTCCCGATTCTAATTGAGAGTGCCACCCACGTGTATGTTAATTTACTAAAGCTAATGAAGTTCAATCTCATTTATTATTGAAGTTTGATAGTAAACACTATAGGCGTCTGTGGGAAAATAACACAATATCTAAACATGTTTATTCATGGAGCATTAGAGTTGTTCATTTGAAAAATGATATGGATATTGCATCTGTGTGTAATTTGAGTAAACACGCTTCAAATTTTAAAGTTTTGTTTACCATAAAAACCTCTTACGCTACTTGGTAGTGCTTTGGAATTGAAATTTATACATCAACCGTACAACGAATTTAACTTATTAGTTTTTTTAGAAATATCAATATGTAAATGAAAGCTATTGATTACTTTTTTAATATTATTATTTGGTTTACACAGTGTACTAAAATTGACGATCAATATTTTCATGAATATATTTGTGTAGCTTTTATGGAAATCTTGATTTTAATATTTAATAAAATCAACACTTTTTACGCAAGTTTCCAAAACAAATATATCAAATACGGAATGAAGATATGAAAATAAATATTTATAAGACGAAGTATTCCATTTACAATTTACAAATGATCTAGCCCAATTTTATTCAGGTAGGTAGAATTATCAAAAACAATATATAGCCTATGTTTCTCGTTGATGTTGTAGATAAAATAATCTATTTATTTATTTATTTAATAAGGTTCACATACAACTTTTACATTTTACATGCAACTTAATCAATAACACAAAAAATAATCTAGCCCAATTTTATTCAGGTAGGTAGAATTATCAAAAACAATATATAGCCTATGTTTCTCGTTGATGTTGTAGATAAAATAATCTATTTATTTATTTATTTAATAAGGTTCACATACAACTTTTACATTTTACATGCAACTTAATCAATAACACAAAAAATAATTTTGCCTAATGTAAAAGTCTTTTACAGGCGAACACAACATGTACTATTATAACATTTAATAATCGTTAACAATGACAATAACAATATCTGAATAATAAGCAGATCAAGAATTTATGTCTAAGATTTTCCTCAATAAGTTATATCTGCTGTTGATGGGTCCAAAATTGATGTCAATTTGATCGCTGTGAGCATTCAGAATCTAAAAATCTATAAAGTCAGTTAAGTAGTTTTTTAATTCATTCATTATAAACCAACAATCAAATCTTATAAATATTTTCACTTGACATTATAAGAGTATATCACCAAATATAAATAACTAAATATTTGCTTTGAAACCAGTGTCTTTGACATTCAACTTGAAACAAACCTGCATATTGTGAAGTAGCGTGGGTGCATACAAGCCTGTTCTCTGTTATGCCCACGCATTGACCTCCGTTGCAATTTCAAGTAGGGGTAGTTGCAAATTTATTGTATATATTGAAGATAAAGTATACGAATTTGCAATATTATTATATTTATAATAGTACTTTATTAATCTTAGTATTTTAAATTCCTAAATTTATAATATACAAATAAATTATAATTTATTATTATACAAATTTACAGTCATCTATGGTATAAGTTACGATAACTGCTTACCATCAAGCGAACGATATGGATTAAATAAAATAAAATGTCTTTATACCGATATCGCAATCAAACTTCATTATTTCTGATATACTTACCTATAGTATTTGACACGGTGAAGGCACAGATATAAAGTACTTTTAATCCAAAAAGTTGCGAGCAAGAATGGTTGGTTATATAATAAAAGCATTAACAATGTGTGAGTTTGAAAAATCTTGCTCGTCTCTGTTATTAATTATCTATAACCTGTTATACGCAGTAACGAAGCAAGTCAACGTTGCAAAAAGATGAGTTTGCTACCTGCGCGCGCACAGATTATCTTACAAAATTATACGCCGTCGCACAGGGCCTTTGTTCCAGGATTTACAGTGGTTCTCTATGAGCTAAATCTTCATTATAGGGAGCACTATAAATTTCTATTAAGTTTATCGAAGATCCACTTACATTGTCTGTTTTTTTAACGAACGTACAGCGCTCTATTTTACGTTACCAGCGATTATTTTTGAAGTTAACTTTATGATATTTATATATGAAATAAAAATTGTACACAATATATTTTTATTTCGTATTTATATACGAATATAAATAGAAAGAGAATTCAACTGAATTAGCACGTAATTGAAGACTACTGTGTCTGGAATCATGGAACTTGCTAGTAGGAAAATTTGTCCTGTAATTACTTCATAAATTATATATAAAAATAATCTTTTATAAAGTACGTTGATAACAGGATAAGTTTAAAATTTTACAAAATTAAAAAAAAAAAACTTAATATAAAGTTTGCCTTGTATCAATATTTTTTCCTTGATAACAATTGTGTAACTTTTTTAACACAATAAACTATAAATAAATAAATAGAATGTTAAAATACGTCTAACCAATTTTCTGAACCTATTGAAACAAGGGAAGGCAAGTGTTGGCGATAAATTATAAATGCCGACAGATCCC